CAAGGGTCAACTCAAACAAGGGCATTGTTAACACACAATTTGGCCACCCGCAACCACCAAATGACCACCACCCCACAAATCACAATACCATAAAACATACACATCGGCCCCTAAAGGACCACTCACCCATACGCTTCATTCCACCTATACTAACACACTAAATCAGCAACCATTGGCCCTGAAGGGACACACACACACACACAGAGTTCACTTACAACCATTACATTACCTCAGTATGAGTAATAATCGGCCTCTACATACCACACACCCACAAATTACAACACCTCCACCCTGGAGAGGCCACACACATACACACACCAACTAGTCAACCATCCATTTTCAAACCTGAAACAACGGCCTGTGAAGGCCACACGTACACATATGGTACTTTACAGAACCACACACCAAATCAGCAATTCTCGGCCAGTGAAGGCCTTTCACTAATCCACACCCAACCTACAAACACCAGTCATGAAAGCCATACACACACTCATGCAAATCACATGTAATACCCTAAATTAATTTTTAATGTAATTTAAGATTTAATTATAAATATAATTAAATAATTTTTCAATTTTTTAATTTTAATTTAGAGTAAAAATGAAGTAAAATTGATGGACGATTAAATTTAAAATAATTTTTAGAAAAATGAGTGAAAATTTGGATTTTTAGAGTATTTTTGAAAGAAAAATTAGAAACCAAGAATCAAAATACAATTTAGAGAAGTTTCGCTACGTAGGATGCCCGGTCAGCAGCCCCGACGAATCAAGACATGCCACGTGGCAGCAGATGCTAACGCGGTGCCACACGGGAGGCCACGTGGGCGATCCGCGTGTCTGCGATCGAATGACTCAGATCCGTTCCCATGCGCACAAACGGTCCAGATGCGTTCACTCCTCAAACGCGATCGGACGGTCTGAGTTGAATGCGATCGGACAGCCCAGATTGGATCGCGATAAACGATTCAGATTGGATCGCGATGAATGGTCTAAATTCACACTCTATTTAATCGCAATCGGATAGTACAGATCAAACGCGATAGACGGTCTAGATTAAAAGGGGATGGATATAAATAACCCTCATCCATATCAAACTCTAACCCTAGCCGCCAGACCCCCTCGTTGGAGAAAAAGACCCAGCCGTCGGGAAGGAGACCATCCTCACGTCGGAGCCCTTTCCAACCATCAAAAGAGGTTAACCACAACCGGAGCCGGAGGAGCCGCTGCACTGGAGAGCTCCACCGCCGGTGAGTTTCAGTTTTTTGTATTTTTTCAGCCAACCGAGACCTTTTAACATATTTTTTCACAGGGATTGATGTGAAATCGGCTGAATTTAGCTCAAAACAGCTAAAACCAGCCGATCGGAGGTAGACCATCACCACTTGCGGCGGCACCGTCGTCGAAGCATGGCGGAGCCGCCGTGACAGAATTCAAAATTGGCCAAAATGAGTCCTGAGACTGATTTAGGATTTGTTTGGGATATTTGTAGGTACTTATAGCATGTTTTGATTCTCGAAAAAAAATTCAGGGAACCCGGGGACCACCAGCAGGCGTAGTCAACAGTTTAGCCTTCTGGGTATCAAATTGAATAAGAATCCCTCACCATATCCTCCATTATGGAATTGAAGTTTAATTTTAAATAATATGATATTTTGTGAAACTTAAAAAATATTTATAATTAATTACAGGTTATTAATAGAAGCAGAATTAGAAATTATCTACTATTGTTCTGTTGATTATTTTTTTTATAATTTAAATGTATGATAGTGCCTTATTGAATTATTTTATAGTTTTAAATGCATGTATTGTTGTTTTACGTATTTACAATTGAATTGAAAAAATGGATGTTAAAGGTAAACGGAAAACTTGTGTAATTAAGTGACTGGATGAAACGACAGCCTTACTGGACATCTTGGGAGATGGTAGACAGATCGGGTACACAGAGAACCCTACCGTGAATGTGTCTCATACCGGACGGAGTATGGAAACTTGGTAACTTGGCGCTTATACTGGACGGGATATGGAGACGGCCCGCTTCACCCTTATACCAGACGGGGTATTGAGGTTTTGTAATTTAGCACCCATACCGGACAGGGTATGAGGACGGCCCATAACTAAAATGTTAAAGGAAAAGGTTCATGCGTAACGGAGACACCCTTATGAACCCCCATGGATACCAGTAGGTTGGTGGAAAAATGGGCAATTGTTGTTGATGATTTGAATATGAAAGTATAATATGTACTATGTTGCCAATTATATACGGAATCATGATAAATACAATGTTACTATTTTCTATAGGTTGTTTTCTATAAATCTTATTATGGTAAGTGGACAGTAAATAATTTTATTATTGATAAATGAATTTTCTTAATTTAGTGTTTCATTAGTTATTTTTTAATTTTTTCTATTGACCTTCATTTTTATATCGGTGATATAGTGTGATATTCTTACTGGACTAGTGTAGTTTATCCTTTATTTAACCATTTCAGATCAAAAGTACAAGGATCCAAAGCTCAATTCACAAGAGGGTTGCGAGTAGAATGCTAGTTTTCTTTATTTTCTGTTTATTTCCTTATTTCTTTTAAAATGGTGAATTCTGAAACACTAATTAGTATTTTAAGTTATTATGTAAGGAATGTAAATTTTAAACATTTATTTCACTTCCGCACTTTAATTATCATTTATTTCTTTTGAATATTTATGGGGTCGTTACAGTTGGTATCAGAGCCGCCTTCCTCGAACTCATTCCTTACACAAAATCCTTAGAAAACACCAAAAATAATGAATTGTTAGTCAACCATTCCTTGTGAAATGCAGGTACTGATAGATGAGGAGAGGAAGACCCCCACTAAACCGAGCAGCCCGAAAGGGTTCGCTTAGAGAGGATGTTGATCGGTTATTTAAGATAGTAGAGAGACTCACTGTTGCCTAGCAGGCCCGGGAAGAAAGGAGGGAGCTGGCTAACCCTCCCCCACTGCCACAGGTTGAGCCACCCCTGCAACGGGAGGATTCTGAGCCACACCGATATGACCCTGCTCCTCCACAGTACCACCACAGTATGATCCAGTGCCCTAGTCACCGCCTCACCCGGCACCACAGTACAATATTGTGCCTCCATCGTATCATGAAGTACCACTGTATGGCC